ATACTCACTTATCTACATATATATTATATATACTAGTGTGTGTAATAATACTCACTTATCTACAGATATATTATATATACTAGTGTGTGTAATAATACTTACTTATCTACAGATATATTATATATACTAGTGTGTGCAATAATACTTACTTATCTACAGATATATTATATATACTAGTGTGCAATAATACTTACTTATCTACAGATATATTATATATACTAGTGTGTAATAATACTCACTTATCCACTTGTTTTGGAAAAAAACAAATCTAATGCTTCAGTCACCAACAACATTAAACACATCACAGATCGAATGGCCAATAAGAGTGAAAAGTAAAAACTTGAATTTCCACACACACACAAACATGAGCTAATGGTGTCAAAGGACCGACCCTTCTAATTTACCAGTTCTTTACCATCTTATAACAAATGCAAGTCATTAATATCACTGTTATTAATAGGGAATCCTATAGCTCAGGTCATACATAGCTCCTCTTTATACAAAGACCTTTTCTTGTCATTTCAAATAACTTTTTACTAACTTCATCACAGGTAGCTTGACATTTATTAACATACTGTAATGCAGGAGATTAGTCCAACCCAGCAATGATGATAAATGTTTTCCTTTTATTGCTGGATGGTTGTTAAAAGTTAAATTTGTATTTGTTGTATTTGTTTTGTTGTTGGTCATGAAAAGTTATATATGAATTTCTGATAAGAGAGAAACATGGTAATGATTGTTTTCTTTTTCTGGAATACATGGCACAGACTGGATTATCTTGGACTCAAACATTTTGTTTATCTGAATATAATAGTTATTTATCTACAAACTGTAGAGATGATATATTTTCATTTTCTCTTCATCGGGTTTTTGTTTTTGTGTTGCTAAACTATGAGATCTAGCCAACACTAACGACTGTAAACCTCAAAACTGTTCCTTTTTTAAGAATTAGTTTTCTGACAGACCACCTTATACTATGTGGGCATAGTTTTTTTTATTGTGTAAAGATATGTCTGAGGGGGACATCTTAAAAAAAAATTGGTAAAATAAGCTACTCTATCTAATTCACAAGAATGGTTCTCTATTCAGATTAACACTTCTCTATTAATTCACTAAAAAAGTAAAACAGAAGTTACCTTCTTATCCAGAATATCTTTTAGGATATCAAATGCTTTTCTCCCATTTCTGTGCCCTCTAGTTTGTGGATCCCATTCTAACATTACTTGCAGCCAGTCTTCCAAGTATTTCTGGAAAACCCTAACAGAAAGGAAACAATCATACCAAAACTTATATTTTTAAAGTAAAATGTAAGTCAACTATGTACTTTTGGAAAACCCTAACAGAAAGGAAACAATCATACCAAAACTTATA